AGTTATCAACTTAATGCCTTTTTTTAGATAGGATATGAGATATATATAAGAGATATATAAAAGTAATGAGATATTTAATATGATATTTGTATTTGTGCGTGCGTGCGTGCGTGCGTGCGTGTGTGTGTGGTTATGTTTCAGGGATAGTGAACAAAGAGCGCGCGCAAAGCGCGCGCTTTGTTTTGTTCTAGTTATTTAGAAATATAATTTATTTAGTGATTACATTCAGATGACTATCTAACTCACAACTTGTTGCAGTTTGATCTTTGGACCTCTTATTTCAAATGTGAGAGATAATACTGCAAAAATATAATGGTTCTATAAAAATGGTTCTATAAACAATGCTTTTTTACAAATTATTAATTACTTTTTATCTAATTTATTTCCTTCTTATATGCGCGCGCTTACAATAGACAATAGACCTTTGCGGGAATACTTTCGCGTTCGCGGTTGCGACATTTAAATACGCGTTCCGAACGATACTCTGCGCGTATCTAATTGCATTGATCGCACGTGATGATATGCAAGGATGGCTCTGTCAGGTATTATGACCTTCAAAGTTAAGTAATGTTTGTCACCATGATTATATTAAGTACCACATCTACTGGAATTGAATCCAATTTGTCATTGTATCGACATATTGTTTTTTTTCAAAAGTGTAAACAATTTTGTATACGATAATTTATGATGCAAAACGATCATAAACAATTCTACGAAACATTAATTACAAATGTAAATAGTTAAACGAGTAGAAATAAGGTAGAAATGAAAAGTAAAACAGTTATCTAAAATGGATAGGTAAAATTAATGACTGTAGTTACTCGGGTAAGGTGACAGAAACTGATATTTTCTATAGAAGTCAAGCAGCAGTTTCGAGACGAGAGGGTTAAAAGCTGCTTGCACCCTACGGTAGATGGCGACAGCAACGGCGATCAAACCTTCCTTTCTACCAAACACCCCCACGGTTGACGAACAGCTGTTCAGCACCGCCATGGCACACGCGACGTCGCGACGTCAAAAATACTTTGAACAATTTCGATTTATTCGTGCCGAAAAAATCTTTCCGCGTCGCGACACGATTTACCTGGTGATAAACTTTCGATCGTAGACCGATATTTCGTGATGGTGTTTTGATTTGTGCCAATTGTATATTCGCGAGTGATATTATGGTGATGTTTCAGTAATATTAAATGTGAATTTTGATCCTTAACAGGTAGGAATTTATTTTTTAATTACTTTTTAATGTTTTCATATTTTGCATAAAAGTTTGGCAGTAGACGTTGCATAATTTTTAGCAAGATTATGCAACAGAAAGAGTGAAATACAATCGACAGATTACGATTATTTATCAGAGAAAGATATCATATACAAAGATATAATGATATAACAAAGAATATATTAAGTGGATTTATTTTTAATAATTATCTATTATTTTTGTAAATAAATTTTAAATAATTTTTATTGTAGGTGGAATATATTTTTATTTACATTTATTGCATAATATTATTTAAATAAATAAGATACATTAGATTACTTTTAAAATGAAATGATTTATTTTATTTAACATATCTTAAATTGCTTCATTTAAAAAATATTATTTTAAGAAGTATGAAAAACTTTTTATTTATATATCAACATAATGTTTTATTTTATATTTATTGTATTCTTCAAAATTAATAATTATGCCTTCTCAAGTTACCAAGGTCCAAGATATTTAAGTTGTTATAAAATACTTAACATCTTGATCGGGAGATGGCACCACTTAGACATATTTCAATTTGGTAAATGTGAAATAAATTATTTAATTCTGCAAATTATCACTCATAAATTAATTATATGTATTCAAGTCCGATGCTTATCATTTCTGCTCCGTTTTAGCATTTTTTATAAAAAAATAATATACATATTATTGAGAGATTATTTTTTGTTGAAAATTAATTAAAGAAGTTAACACAGATAATTTGAATCAAAGAAGATTTTATCATATAATATTTATGTACATATTTATATAAATATATGTATAAATATGTTTATGTAAATATATAAGAGCATGTCGCGAAGACATGTCTTCAATACGTTTACATGTCTATAATATTTATGCGTAGGAACTTGAGAATATTTATAACGTGAATATTAGAATGAAATTTAGAATTATGTGGAACGAATATTTCGCACCTGCATGTTTTTCTTCTTTATAAAATAACCTTAAGTGATTTGTTTTAAGATGCTAATACAATCTGCGTTCATGCCGTACATACGACGAAGAACAATAGGGACATAATCCTTTTTTTCGCAGAGAAGAGAGGCAACACCCACGATCCGGAAAATCATACACTCTGTTTTCAGTTACACGTGTTCTTATTCAAGTCACGTTCCGACGACAAGGGTAATAGCCCCGAACTTTGTCTTCGTCGGATCAGCTTAACTTCCGGTAGTAAAATTTCACGAAATTCTAGTGCGGTCTCGGCGAAATATGTTTTCTGTGGTTCCTGGCATTTTTCAGCTTGATCGATCACTGCCACGTTGTTGTACGTAGGAAGCCGGAGATATAGCGGACGTTTTTATGAGTTTCCTGGAACATGAACGTTACATCATACCGATTAATTCACATTATCACAAACGCGCAGTTTTACGATATTAAATTAAAGGAATAATTTAGGAGGAAATTACAGTTAATTATAGGTCATTTTATTTTAAAAAGAGGGAGAGGCACACACACACACACACACACA